GCGCTCATTCCTCACAATTTTCTTAAAAAGTGCAAAAATAATTTAATTCATTTGTGAATAAGTCCTGAACGTTTCATTAAAATCCGACAATTATTTGATTTTTGTAAGTATTTCCAAATCAATGTGATTTCATCTAAAAACAAAAGCGCAAAAACACTAATCGTAAATATTACATCGACCGCTGACGTAAAGAAATACAAGATTTCTAGCCAAAATATCGAACTTGCTAGAAAGGATTAATAAAATTAATAAAATAATAAAAATACTTCTTGCCTTTTACTCTGTTTATATTTGTCTTAGGAATACCTAATCATGATGAAGGAAAATCAGTAGTTTTCAATATAGCAGCCGACGCGATTCGTCCAATGTGGATTTTTCAAGGCAAAAACGAAATGAATTTATTAAACAAGTAACTAATAATAACAAAACAAAATATCAACAAAACTGACCCTATTAAAAAAAATCAAATTAATTGTCTATTATAAAAAAAATTAAGACAGCTAACCTTATTCTCAAAAATAACAACACACCAGGAAAGGCAAAATTACAAAGAACGAACATTATCTATGAGTTTAAATGCCCCTTAAGGAATTGTGTTCCTGATCAAAACGGACTCATAAATAATTACATCGGTTACACAACCACATGCATATCCAGACATCTTACGTTACACCTATCTGATCACAGCTCCAGTCGAACACACATAAAACCTTACCAGACTCCATTAGAAACATACTAGTAGAAAATACAAATATATTAACTGCATTCACCTACAAAAAAAGACTAAAAATAATGGAAGCTTTAATAATAAAAAAGAAAAAAACCAACTCTTAACAATATTAACTACGAACAAAGCCAAAATTTGCTAACCGTATTAGGAAATTAAAAGCATCCCTACCACACACTAAGACATACACATAACGCATACACTCAATTAAGCTGAAAAATCGAATCATCCTTGATAATGTCTAAAGGTATAGTGGAAAGCGCTCGGAAATATAAAACATTTGGACAGTTCTTACACACCCTTTGTCCAGAAAAGAAAGCTCTTGTTCGAACACAAGAAAAATTAAATAAAAAGCTTAACCGTAGTACCTTGTTTGTCGTTTTTAATAAAACTTGCATATATATTTATATATATATATATATATATATATATATATATATATATATATATATATATATATGATTAATTTTAAATTGTAATTTCTGTGTTGCAATGGAAATATATATATATTTTTTTAAATAGTTATAATTTAAGCTCTACTTCTGTATCGAACACTATATTTTTTTTGAATATACAACATAAATACTAAAGAACATTGGGTCATTAATCTAACTGTTCTTTCCTATTTCATTATCTTTTATTCTTTCAGTTTTTGTTTTACTTTATGTCCTTTTATTTCTATTTTATTATTGTTATTTTTGTTTCATTCTTTCAATGTGTCTTATTTTATACTCATTCATTTTTATTTATAATCGTCATAGTAATCTTTTTTCATTCTTTCAAAATATATTATTTTTTACTCATTTTTATTTCTTTTTTTTTTTGCTATTTTGCTTTTTCTTATTCTTTCACTCTAACCTGTTTTACACACTTTCATTTACATTCCATTTTGTGATATGCCATTTTACATTTTTCCAATATTTATATTTTCAATCTCTTTCATTTTTTTTCTTTTTCATTCTTTAAACATAACCTATTCCGAATTCTTTCATTTTATTCCATTTTTGGAAATATTCATTTTTCATTCTTTCAATATAACTTATTTTATAAACTTTCATTTTTATTACTTTTTTGTCATTTAATATTTTTTTTATTCTTTATATAAGTTTTATTTTATACTCTTTAATTTTTATTCTATTTTTTTTTAATTCTATATTCGTTTTCCTTTTTCAAAATATATTAATTTATAAACATATACTTTATTTTATTTTCTTTCGTTTCATTTTTTTTTTTATTTCTTCGATATATCTTATTTCATAAACTTTCATTTTTGGTCATTTCTTTTCCTTTTTCATTATATCTTTTTTTATAAACATTCATTTTTTTTTTTTTTTTTATCATTCTGTTATTTTTCCGTTTTTGCAACATATCTTATTTTATATTCATTCATTCTGATTTCTTTTTTTGTTTCTTTATTGTTGCATTATTTCAATATATCTTCTTTTATATTCTCTCATTTTTATCTTTTCACTGTGTAATTTTATTCTCAGTTATTAATTATTCTCTTTTCTTTATTTGAATTTTCTTCTCTTCATCTCCCCCATCATAATTTCTATTTTGTGTTTCTTTTGTATTTTATTTGTTTTGTTATATATTCCTCTGGATTTTCTTTTCTTTGTTTAATTTCTCTTTCATTTCTATCACTCATTATCTTTCCATTTTTTTTAATATTCTTTCCGTTTTTATTTTTCGTTCATCTCTTTGCTATTATTTTACCTTTTTTTAAAAAAAACTTTTTTCAATTTATATTTCTTTCTCTCTGAAATCTAACATACATTATCTCTCACCATCTCTCTCTCTTTCTTTCTCTCTCTCTCTCTCTGTCACTTTACATAATTTCCTTTTCCTTTTTATCCCCGCCTGACAAATCGTAACCCTAATTGCCTGCCACGGCCTAGCGTTTAGCAGCTAATTTCAAAACGGTAAAAGCCGATCCGGACGCCGATGATAAACTACCAGGCGAGGAAGAGCATCCAAGATAGCCATAACCGCAACGAAGACTAGCGATAAAGACGACATCGACGCTGGCAACCACTACCTCCATGGCCTCCTTACCCACCGATTATGTCGATGACATGGACAAGGGCGAAGAAGAACCAGATAATGATACTGATAATGATGACATCTTGGTTGATGCAGATGGTTGTATGATGCGTTCGAGGCATTGGAGGGAGAGAGAGGTGTAGAATGGCTTTGTCGTTTCCCGCGTGATATTTATGCGTGTTAATTTCCGAGCAGACCTAAGATGTCACTTTTTGATTCGCCATGTGCCATAGTTATTTATTAGAGCTGCTTGTAATCAAGCCTTAAACAATTCCGCTCTGTGACTCTGCTGTCCTTCCGTCACATCACATTATTCTTTCTGATTCGAAAAATCTTCTCCCTCGTTTTTATCATTGCTTTTCGTAATACGTTTATTCTTTCCTTTTTCTCTTTAGATGATTTACCATTCTTCTATCTTTTGTTTTTTGATTTCTTTCTTCTGCATTTTCTTAAAGATGAATTTTTCTTACTTTTTATGCAGTATTCTTTGCATTATTTGTACTTATTCGGAATGTACAACTTTCAGTTTATTGCTCTTGTCGTTCTCTTATTCTTTCATTAATCCACAATTCCATATATCTATTTAGATGCTAGGTATTTCAATATATATATATATATATATATATATATATATATATATATATATATATATATATATAATGAATGATATGGACAAAAGTTCGACAATTATTTTAATATATTTATTGTTTATATATTATTTTTATAGATAAAAATATTTAACTAAACGCCCTGTTTATAATAAACAGTTTTAAGAACATTTACTGGCATGAATGTTGAATGTCCGTGAAATGGCATGAATGTCCTTGTAATATATATATATATATATATATATATATATATATATATATATATATATATATATATATATATGTGTGTGTGTGTGTGTGTGTGTGTGTACATATATATATATATATATATATATATATATATATATATATATATATATATATATATATATATAAGTAGGCAAGATAGCCAGAAGTGCATACACTGAATGAAATAGATCAGCAGGTACATTTTCCTTTTACGACAGTCTCGACCTGAGACGATTCGTGTGTATGACGTGTTAATCTTATTCCGGCACACACGCACATACACACATACATATATATATATATATATATATATATATATATATATATATATATATATATATAGAGTCTTCGACTTACGGCATAGTTCCTTTCCTACATTGTGTTGTAACATGTTTTTCTATGAAAATCGGAACGTTTGCGTGAATAGCAACTTATCTCACTCACCCATGCTAAAGCAAGTGTAAAATAATAATTTTAGATATAACAAGGCATTTAATTGACATACGTTAACAGAATTAAGAATAAAAACATACATGGACTACATCCATATAACGACACTTGATGTAGGCCACCGCGTTGAGTCTGATGCCCTCATCCACAAATTCGAGAGTTCTTATCAAAACGATCAAAGTGAGTCTCCGACCTGCTGTACCATCGTAATCAAAATTAGACTCCTCCAACTCTTTCAGATTCCTCTGCAATGTTCTCAGATTGACACTGAAACACTCAGAAATGTTCGTATTGGAACTTCTGGTGCGAATGATAAGCAGTAAATATTGCATTTCCTGATAAATTGAATTGTGTCATGGTGCTCTTTTTCTCACAGATGGTTCCCACGTAAACCTTCAATACTGTGTAGTCGACAACATTAAAACAAACAACATGCATGTGCAAAATTAAAATGGCGACAATTTCTACATCGCACGCTGTATATATATATATATATATATATATATATATATATATATATATATATATATATATGTGTGTGTGTGTGTGTGTGTGTGTTGTTTGTTAATTTTTTTGTGTATTTCGATGTTTCTGATTATTTTTTTTATTTCAGTCTCATATTTTTAAACATGTATTAATGAAATGAATGAGAGGAGAAACTTATTTTTACAATTCGTTTCGATTCTTGAAGCACATCTTCAGGAGAATATGCTGAAATTTATTTAGAAAATTTTATTTATATACACATTAGAATAACCGTTGAGAAAAATAAAGTTATGCGTTCGAATTTAAATTTGAGTATCTTCTAAAATATATTTTAAGTTCCTTGGGCGCTGTCGAAAGGAATGAAACTGTGTAGTTCGTTAAGAAAGATATATTTTACGTGTTATAGCGAAAGTGAATTAATGTTCGTTTAGTATGCTATTTAGAATTTTATGGTTTATTCAGATGCATAGATATAAACAATTGAAAAAATAGATTAGATAGATAGATAGATAGATAGATAGATAGATAGATAGACACTTATTAGGTTCTCTATTTACATTTTTCGGACTATTGTCTTCATCTTTGTCGCCATATTTATTACAAAGTTTCGGCCGTTGTACGCTCCGGCCTTCTTCAGTTGGTTGAAATGTTGAACTGAACCTTTATTACGCTCACTGGGGTAGACTGTTCTAGTTCTACGTGTCATGTTTAATGGATGTCAGTCATCAGTTATCTCCTGTTAATCACCCTCTCCAAGTTCTCCACTGCCTTAACCGGGTATTGAACTCTCACTCTTTGGGTCATGACAATAGATCTATCTAACGCCTTTATCCACACTTCCATGTGTTCTTGAGGACATTCCAACCACCTGAAGAAGACCGGAGTGTACAGAGACCGAAACGTTGCAATAAATATGGCGACAAAGATGAGGACAATATTCTGAATAATGTAAATAGTGTACATAATACCTCATCTCAGAATATATTTCTGAGATGAGGTATTATCTACACTATTTACATTATTCAGATCGATACTTATTTGGTTTTTCGGGAAATGATGTCGATTTTAGAACCCATTCTCCATCCGAATTAATGCATTTAAACGGCGTTTAGATCAGTGAAAATAGGAATCTTGAATATATAAATAGTTCTGTTATCGAGTTTATGATGTTTTTACGATAAAACTCTAAATGGTTTGGATGCCAAGAAATCTTTGAATACAGTGTTTACATGTTCTTTGTAGTGAAATGTATTTCGGTTTAAAACAATGTTCAGATGCTAGAAAAAGTGGTAATCAGTGTACGAGAAATCATGGGAATATGGTGGATGTAATATTATTGAAATTCTGACATCTGTTATCTGAGACATTTCACTGACAATTGGAGATGGGTTTTATTTCGATGTGTGTTTTGCTAAGTTGATAGCCAATTGCAGATGAACGACACCTACCACGTTGATATTAAATAAACGTAGCTTGAGAATCATTATGATCAAACTTGAACTCCTGCAAAAAATATTAACACATATCATATTTTTTCATATTGAAAATAATGGGTTTATAACGCTTTAATTGAAATTCCAGAAGAAACTGATATATAATATTAACAAAGAGGACATTTTAATCATTAGAATGTATAATATATATATATATATATATATATATATATATATATATATATATATATATATATATATATATATATATATATATATTTGTGCCATTATCATAATAATATATTAGAACAAACTTAAAAGTTTTATTCCAAAATCGGAGATTATGTTCTGAACACACTAGTAGATAGATAGATAGATAGATAGATAGATAGATAGATACTACATACATACATATGAACAGACTGAGATGGATAGATAGATAGATATGAACAGAATGAGATAGATAGATAGATAGATAGATAGATAGATAGATATGAATAGAATGAGATAGATATGAACGAGATAGTTTGTTCACAGATAGATAGATATATATATATAGATAGATAGATAGATACTACATACATATTAACAGACTGAGATAGATAGATAGATAGATAGATAGATAGATAGATAGATAGATAGATAGATAGATAGATATGAACAGAATGATATAGATTGATAGATATGAACAGAATGGGATAGATATGAATGAGATATCTATCTCAGTTTGTTTACAGATAGATAGATAGATAGATAGATAGATATATACCACATACATACATATGAACAGACTGAGATGGATAGATAGATAGATATGAACAGAATGAGATAGATAGATAGATAGATAGATAGATAGATATGAATAGAATGAGATAGATAGATAGATAGATATGAATTGTTCATGAGATAGATAGATAGATAGATATATGTTCACAGATAGATAGATAGATATATAGATAGATAGATACTACATACATATGAACAGACTGAGATAGATAGATAGATAGATATGAATAGAATGAGATAGATATGAAAGAGATAGTTTGTTCACAGATAGATAGATAGAGATATATAGATAGATAGATAGATAGATAGATAGATAGATAGATACTACACACATATGAACAGACTGAGATGGATAGATAGATAGATATTAACAGAATGAGATAGATAGATAGATAGATAGATAGATAGATAGATAGATATGAAAGATATGAATTTGTTCACAGATAGATAGATAGAAGAGATAGATTGTTAGATAGATAGATAGATAGATAGATAGATAGATAGATACATACATAGATAGAACAGACTGAGATAGATAGATAGATAGATAGATAGATAGATAGATAGATAGATAGATAGATACTACATACACACATATGAACAGACTGCGATGGATAGATAGATAGATATGAACAGAATGAGATAAATAGATTGATAGATAGTTTTGAACGAGATATCTATCTCAGGCTGTTCGTAGATAGATAGATAGATAGATAGATAGATAGATAGATAGATAGATGAGTAGCGATAGATAGATAGATAGATAGATAGATAGATAGATAGATATGAACAGAATAAGATAGATATATGTGAACACACTGATAATGATTTATAGATATATGAGTACGTACGTCAGTATAAGTCACATAAGAAAAGTGACTGTAAAATTTTCTTCTCTACTTTTTATGCCACTGATACAATCACCTAAACTTCCGGCTTTTCATCATCACGTGGGACGAATACAACAGACGGCAGCAGCCATTAGACAATATCCATCTCTACCCCCGTCCTTCACGCCTTCTGGTGCCAGTAACTTACGATGTTGCAGAGCGTTTGCCACTCGCTGATACAGATGTGCCCTTGTCGATTGACGACTGCCGGAATCGCTCCCTTGGGTAGCACCAGAAATTAAACTCTTCCCGTTTGCGATCAGTCTTCCGTTCTAACGAGATGACGCACAAGGACATCACACAATTTTACATCTTGTTGCTTGTTTTCATTATTTTCTATGTATATTTTTTTTTTATGTTGTACAGGTTTGGTGTTTATTGATGACATTGCTAGCAATCGTTCGAGTATTTTTTATTACCGTCCATTTTATTCAGCGCTGTTCCTTGATGAATTTTGTCTTCGCGTTTTCTTTATCGTTATAAAATTTTATTTTTCTCATTCCTATTGCAGGTGCTGTTGTTGTTGTTGCTGGTGTCGCACATCTTCTCCTTCTTCTTTGTTTGCGTTTAGCGGCCACCGTTTAGCGTAAGTTGAGCTGTCTCGAACCTGGTCAATACCTAGATGGGGGACAACTTAGGAATATCAGGTACTGTAAGATTGAATATGCTAATGGTGTCATCAGTAATGACACGCAACGGTTAAGTGATGTGCTTAGTTTCAATTACAGTTGGATTCTGTATATTCACTTATGTGCAAATGTCCTTGGGAAAGGCATGTATCCACGCTTTCTCACCTCGGCTACGGGTTAATTAGTAACACTTGTATCATTAAAATCGTTATTATCTCTAATAATAAAAAAAAAAGATGCATACAAAATATTTAGTTTCCGGCATTAAATAACCCATAGAATCAGAAAGCTAATAAGCAAAAACAATAAACCAAACAATTTACTTGTTCTTATTCTTCATGTTGTTGTTGTTGCTGTTGTTGTTCTTCTTCTTGTGCTCCTGCCTATGTCGCCAAAAAATGGAAACACAAAACAGTTAATGTTGTATATTGTTGATGTTGGCTACAGTTAATATTGACTTACATGTGAGAAAATTATTCGAAAAATAGAGCATTAAAAAAACAGATCACGTTGGTTAAAAATTAGATCCTTATTTATCCCGCTCTATCTCTATTTCTATCTGTCTTTTTTTTATTCTATCTATCTATCTATCTATCTATCTATCTATCTATATATATATATATATATATATATATATATATATATATGTATATGCATATATGTATGTGTGTGTATGCATGCATGCTATATGTAGAATATATATGTAGTAAATATATATATATATATATATATATATATATATATATATATATATATATATACGGACCATGCGTATAAACACACGTAAACCGAGAGATAGCTTATTTCTAAAATTTCGCTTGAAGATGAAACGGGACTAAACACCGCAATTAATAATAATTTTAATAATAATTATTTGGTTGATTTCAGCTCTCGTTTTTTAAACATGAGGACTCTTATGTAGCGAAGGAATCATATTTTTAAACAAAAAAATATTATTATAATAAAGCTCTACTTCTGTATGGAGCGCTGTCTTCTTAAAAATAAAAACAAAAATACTAAGGAACTCCGGATTATGCACCCAATGTGTTCTTTTCTATTTTCTGCATACCTACACTGAGATCACACCCAGAAGCGACAATTTATTTCATGCATCATGTATGTATGTATCACATAAATTAACGATTCTGTCCCTTGATATTGTGTGGTGAGTAAAATGATTGTCCGATTTGGGATTAACAGATAATCGTTATACTAAGTACAATGTGAAGAAGGGATATTTGCGAAAATTTTCGTTCTTTGATATTTTTCGTCGTTTTCCACATATGGCTACAGACTTTTCAATGCTCTAAGCTTCAAATATATATATATATATATATATATATATATATATATATATATATATATATATATATATGACCACCTTTGTCCAAAGAGTTCGAACGTTAGCGTTCCGATTATGAGAGACGTTTCAGAAGTTACCATGTCAGGATGGGGTGATTCGTGCATGTTCCACCCTTGGAAAATAGTTGAAACTCATAACATGATAGATTCCAGTATTTTGCGAAAAATTGTTTAGGCGAAACTGTTCAGAAGACGTTAATAATGTTGTTAAATCGAAATAAGAAGTCGTCGTGAACGAATATTTGTGCTTAATGTCCTTGTTCAATCTGTTAATCAAGCAGATACTTTAACTTTTTTTTAGTGATTCTATTACTTATTTATGTTATAATTTTTGAATAAATTATATATATATATATATATTGGCTCCTGAAAAATTAATTTCAGTTGAGCTCTCTGGGGAGGAGATGTGGGTTAGTAAACAGTGACTATTATAGCTATATAGCGAGATTCTTCGCTAATGCGAATTGAGCCACTCCCGGTCACTGGGCGTGTTTATAAAGATAAACACGCTAAAAATCCACTTTCCTCCCTACCGTGCGCCGATGGCTTAATGGTTAGAATCTAGCTGATGAGCTGTGAAACAGCGAAACAGTCTGTCTGTGGATGACGGTATATATATATATATATATATATATATATATATATATATATATATATATATATATATTACCAAAAATGGAAGACCGCAAACATTGTCGCTAATCAAAATAAACACATCAATTATAAACTAGCGATTACCAATTTAATATATCAATCTCACTACCCATACAAAATCTATCACAAATTAAGTATAACGGATATACTACCACATCCTTGAGTCGACGCCTCACGTGTCACTATCAAACCAAAGTGCTAAAAAACTAATAAAACTGGTCGAAAACACCAGGATTCTATATACATCACATTATCAGAAAAAAGCTCGCTATTAGAGAGGATCTGTATATCAAGCATTTCTCTCCCACATTATCTAACAGTGAAAATGGAGTGTTAAACCTTTTTTAAAATAGAAAGAGGCTCACACGAAGACTCAGAATGAAAGCTTCTATTGAAAACAAGTGAAAAATAAATTAAAATGTAAAAGTCAAAGCAAGAGGAAACGTAACAACACCATTGACAAAACACTATTGAAAATGGCTATTCAAGTGTCCAGAAGAGCTTGGGATAATTGAAATTATGGAAATATTTTGTACTCCCTTACTCCTACATACGAGTGTTGGAAAACTTAATAAAAATTCAAACAAATCTTCCTTGTTGGCCCCATTTAATGAAAAGATGTTTGAAGAAAAATTAGCTGTCCATATATATATATATATATATATATATATATATATATATATATATATATATATAGAGAGAGAGAGAGAGAGAGAGAGAGATAACAGGAAGTGTAATAGAAAAGGAGTAGAAAAGCAAGAGTACTGAAATTGTACTAGATGGGTGGGTGGTTCGTACGCACTCAGAAAATACTTTTAGTGTGCATGCATCATCATTATTTCCGATCTTTGAAAAAAATGTGGTCTGGGCAGCCCCTAGCCAATTATACCAAAAATAAGCCATTTTCGGTATATATATATATATATATATATATATATATATTAGTAAACCTACCTTGATAGCACGACTAGGAGTTTCATGCTGTTACAAAATCATCAAGTGCTTCATACTTACCTGATGTTTGTGCAAATTCAAGAAACTCCGTGTTGTGCTCTGGACGTTAGCTATTATGTGTATTCTCTAATATATACTTAATAGCTCTGCTATATAACATTCAGCACTCTTTTTATATCACCTGAGAGAAATATATATGTATGTGAATATATATATGACTATACGTGTTTTTTTTACCAAATATATATATATATATATATATATATATATATATATATATATATATATATATGTGTGTGTGTGTGTGTGTGTGTGTGTGCTACCCATATACTTATAAGGATAAAATAAGTCTTTAAGAAATGTCGACTAAGCTACTCAAAGACGTTATATTGGTTTTCCTTTCCTATATTCTCTGTGTCTCTGATTCTAACGATTCTGATTCGTCTTCAAAATCTTTCTCTTCTTTTCTTGTTACGTAAAAAAAAATAAAATAAAATCAATCTATCTACCACGATTTCGTCAAAGTCATGTTGTCCAATGTTTGCCAAAACCAGAAACATCTGTAGGCGGTTGTAAAATTACGGACTTGCCAATTCGAGCAGAAAAAAAAATGGAGATAAAAATCAAGGAAAAAAAATCATGGATAAATTGTATAACAGACAGCTTAATATCCTCGTTGCGTCTTGGCCACTGCCGCCGCAACCATTCTCAAAATTATCAAGACAAGGCGGTAGCTGTTTAGGGATTAGGGTCGAAATAAATTAGCCTCACGATCAGCGCCCGCCTCCGGATTGCTCTCCCCTTACCGCAGATAAATTCCGCTTGCTAATCATCGGCTGATCCCTAGAGTAGGCTATGACAGACAGAGAAATGGAAAGGAAAGTAGACGGGATAATAATGTTCGGGCTTCGTTAGTGGTTGCGAGAATGACGACGGCGTTTGTAAAGTTTAGGAAGAAAACTGTTCGTGTCTCTCTCTCTCTCCATATATATATATATATATATATATATATATATATATATCCTCACCGGTAGAATGACTCATAGTTTCAGAATCTTCAGATGCAGTACCTGAAGACTGAGTTGTGCATAAAACGCCGAGTCGTGTTTCCAGTTAGGGAAAAATTTATATTTATTAATATATAGATTATAGCTCTGTTATATTGAATCGAACACTGTTTTATTAACCCCAGTACTCAATATGCGATATATATATATATATATATATATATATATATATATATATATATATATATATGTGTGTGTGTGTGTGTGTGTGATACTCTATGAATACTTACTTTTACACACAAATGTATATATGCTTAAAACACATGTTGATTAACATATATATAAGTGAACATACGTATACGTACACACACACAAGAAACGAGATAGGTATGTACCAGATCAGGTACTGAACAAAATCGATTGTATGTGTTTTTGTATGGTTCTGTACATATATATATATATATATATATATATATATATATATATTACTCTCTAATACCTGCTGCACACGTCCGCTTAGGCATCCACACTGGCTTTTGGTATGTTCATTTTGGAAACACTGTTGAAAATGAAATATACCTCGCTAGTTACCACATCAAATTTGCTACCTTTGTTTTTGTAGAGAGAGAATATTGTGGCATCGCTGAAATCCTGGGGCCCGACTTCCTACTCTATATGATACATAAAAGGTCGTAGAATGTACCAAGTGCCACTGGTTCTGCTGACTTTTAGATTTAGATTTTAGGGGTGTTGGAGCTCTCTAGTGTGAGTCTCCAAGGGATCTGGTCCAGGACTCCGTTGCCGACACTGGAGGGACTCTTATGTAGGTTGCTGAAGTTTTTCCCTACATCTTTCATTAATTGTCATCTTCTTCAGCCGCCTGCCGTTCCGAGACATGAGATTGGTTGTGTCTGGTCGAGATGATCTATATACTGCCATGATGGGGTCTTGAAAATCATCGTCAACTTCTTAGTGTCAGCATACGACTGAACTTCATCTGCCTTATTCTACCACTACTCATGCATGCGGTGTACGTAGGTCTTGTTCACGCCACTGCAAATACTTGAAGGAAATGTCACTTTGACAGACTATGAACTCCTTCTGCTTCTCATCCAGGAACTCGATGATGTCTTCCCCATTCTGATCGACCAAATTTAGTGCACTCTCTTCTTTGGAACAAGTGTCGACTGAGCTGCCTCTTTCACCATCCTGCTGAAACGATATCATTGTGGAGTCGAACTTCCAATGAGTTGTTCTCTTGACGCCTGCTCTGATAAAATGGTGATCGGTCCGGCATTCTGTTCTTCCCATAGCACTTGCTGTCTTGAATTTTCTAGCAATATGTCTTTGCCAGACAACTTTGTCAAGCAATGGCGACAATTTTTTAACCGAGGATGATTCCAAGTGGATTTGTAATTTTTCAGTCTGCTTAAAGAGGGTGTTGGTGATTTTCAAAATGTTCTCTGCACAGAGACTCAGGAGCAACAGGCCACTGGAGTTGATTTTGCCTGTAACCTGTAGACTCCTGCACATCCTTCCAGCTTGTGTAGTCAGTACCGACTCTCGCCAAGAAGTTGGTTGTGGTTTATGCACTGAAGATCCTGATAAGCCGAGAAATGGGGCTTCATCATTTGTCCATGGAAGCTGTTTAAGTATGACTTTGCTTATTCTATCTCATGAATTCTTTCCTCATCTTGGCATTTGATATTCCAGAATAAAGTGTAGGCGCATTTGGGCTCAGGTAAAGATCATTCATTACCCAATCTAATTTTAATGAGTGCGTCAGTAAAGTTTCTGTAACATAACTGTTCTTTTTCTTCTAAGGTCATTTTGAGAGTTCTCTCTCCGTAAGGTTTCCGACGTTCCATGCACCGAAGTTCATCGTTCCTTTGTGTTTTGACCATAGGTGGGATAACATTGCCGGTTGCGATCAGATGGCCAGTGAGAGATATTTTCTAATTCCTTCGATCGTGTGGGTGTTAGCAGTGCTATCTTAAATAACGTTGCTCAGTCACCTGGGGAAACGCCGAACTCCACTGTTATTCCGGATTCTGATAGAGGCCGCCTACGTGCAGTGGTAGAACTACAAGTTAACAGTGGGTAACTTCACTTGATGTTTCGTCTATTTCCCATCCCCGAAGAGTTTTGATGATAGTGAGATACAGAAGGCAACTTAAGGTGTTCAGATAGGCTGTATATAGAAACATATACGGGAGAATATTTATAGTTTGCTGGTCATTGTATGTGGACGTGCCCACTCATTCCGTCGATTTAAAGTAGTACGAAAATTGTCACGATTAGAGACTTCTTCGCTCGTTTTAGATTATGACAATGTCTAAGCGGACGAGAAGACACAGAATGTCTTCCCGTCCGCTTAGCGATCTACAAACCCTGCTGTCGCTGCCTTCGTGACCACTGGATCAAAAGATTACCTCCGCCCAGTTCACAGGGTCCTGTCTCCGCATGCTGGGGTAGACAAGTCCTAATTCATAGAAGGTTAAAAAAAAAAAAATATCCTCATCACGTTCTACCGGCCTGCCAAAGCCGTTGCCCAGGATATGACCGCTGTCGAATACTAACAAATCCGAGGAATTATTATTGAGAGCTGGAACCAATAGGAACGAGTCGTAAAAAAGACATCCCAAGCCCACGTACTAGAGCTAATATCAATCTGTGGACATCCAGACAACCCATTAGAGTATATATATATATATATATATATATATATATATATATATATATATATATATATATATAAAGGCAGGATGTGTGTGTGTGTGTGTGTGTGTGTGTTTAACGAATGCACGGCCGCAATTTTCGACGGATTTGCACCAAAATTTACATGCACATGCGTGAAGGCCAAGACAGACTTTGCATTTCCCAACTCCCATCGATAATGGAAATAATCGATTTTTTCATTCTTCTACGGCAGTTTTCATGTAGTTTGCGTCCATATTCTACTGGGCAGAGTGAGAGCCTATAGCTGGCTGCCACGAATAAGCAGGAAGATTCTATTGGCCAGCGTGAGAACCAACAGCTGACTGACACTAATGTTAACTAGCATGATAGCCTGCAAAAGAAATCGATAGCTGCATTCGTCACAAGTGGGAAAAGTTTAAATCTGCATGGCAATTTACTCCAACTTGGTCATTTGCTTGCTTAAACTCAACGTTGATTCTGATTCCGCAGAACTGGGTTGGGTGAGAAAATTATTTGTTGTTAACATTCATTTTTTCATTCGGTTTTTCCAGTTACGATTCTTTTTTTTAAAAGCTGATCGTTTTCTGTTTATTTTGTTTAGTTCTTTTTTCATAACAGATTTAATGTTTAGTATAGAGCTTAGAAAAAAATTTGCAGTGTGAGATAGGCAAGAAGTAAGGCATGTAGCAACATTAGCACGGCAAAGGGCACTCCTTTAATGGCAAGGAAGGGCAAAAATATTTTAAGTCAAGTGATAGCGATTGCTGTATGAGTCGTACGATTTTTGAATCAAGCACGGGCAACGCCAGACCATGCTGCTAGTATATATATATATATATATATATATATATATATATATATATATATATATGTGTGTGTGTGTGTGTGTGTTTGGTCAGCAATCTTTCTTTCAAGCATAGAGAATTTGATGATATATTTTTATTTAGTTTTTCTAATATTCATGCATGTTTTCAGTTTGGTGTCTATAAGGAAGGATACAAATTGTCCGTAATGTCTATTGTCTCAAGCACTTGCGGCCATTCTTTTTAACCATTTTCAACTAGTTTGTTGTTTAAATGTAGTCGATTTCTTTTTCAGTTTTGTGATAAATACGCTTAAATTCACCTTCATCCCTGCCATGCGCCAAAGGCTTATTAGTAGAATCCTCGACTGACGCCAGTCGGGTTTCGAACCTAGCTAGATGCAACCGGACGTCTAGCCACACTGATGATCTGTGATACAGCGAAGCAGTCTGTCTGTGGATGATATATATATATATATATATATATATATATATATATATATATATATATATATATATATATATGTACGTGTGTGTGTGTGTAGAATCTTCTTATCACATATATATATTTAAAAAAAATATATATAAAAATAAATAATATTAAAAATGCCTGTCCTTAACACTTAATAGTATAATGTAAGATTGTATAAAATGAATAGATAGATTGTCAACATACACAATCGTGGGCTTTAACCTATATGCTTATAAGTGTCAGAATGCTGAAGAATAGACAATAAATTATTTATATAGATGTATAAATTTACACAGGGATAAACCAGTCTGGAACATCGGATATTTCATAACGAAACTGAGGTCATTCTAGAATGACGACATTTCGCTATGATTTCAGATCCGGCATTTAACAATATATTAGAATGTATATGATAATATATATATATATATATATATATATGTCTTCTCCATCATACAGATCATAAAACGTTTTTCACCCTTCCTATAAAAAGTATTTTCTTATTTTTTATTACAGCTTCTCAATTAATTGTGGGGGCTTCGTAACCCATGGAATTTGGAGATGGCGGGGGTTTTAAAGTTATAACGATAAAGACAGAGTTTATTAAAACGTAAAGAGAAACGAATATGACTTCGTGAAAATATATTTTACAAACGTTTGTGCATCATTTGCCATGACTCCCCAAGTACATAAATATAGTTTGGGACTAAAATTTTCAACTTTTATTATAATTCACCAAGACCTCCATCAGTTTCTCTGAGATCTGCGAATTGCAATTCAAGATTTGAATGAGTTTACATTTCTTCTGTATCAATGTTGTTATTAATACGCTCAGCTTAGTGGTGCGCTGTACCAAACGTAGGTAAAACCAAGGTAGAAATAACGTGTTCCTGATCATTGAGTGCAGTATTGACGCATTTGGGAATTACTGGGTGTGATAGTAAAATTGTCGCCATTTTATATTTTTTTTAATTTCGCGCATGAGCGTTGGGTGTTTTTGAATTTGGCGACTGCACAGTATAGTAGGTTCAATTGAGCATCCTCTTTGAGAAAAAGAGCACCATGATGCAATTCTATCCACCAGAAATTTGGAAACGGCATGATGTACTGCTTGGCATTCGCGCCAGAAAACTCCAATTCAAATATTACAGTGTGTATGAGTGTCAGAAGTTACGAAAAGAGTTTAATGGTGAAATCAAAGGAACGGCAGCTCAGAAAACACACCCTAATTGTTCTGGTAAGAAAAGAACACATGAACTCAACAGGGAGGCTTATATAAAGTGTCTTGAGGAGGTAATGCTGCCCTCGTTCAAGGGGGTGGCTGCTGGAAGACCTTATGCCCAGTAATAGGACTTTGCACCATGCCACATAAGCCTGAGAACAGAGTCATGGCTGTCAGACATTTTCTGCCACTATATCATCCATTACATCTGGCCACCTAATTACCCAGAATGCAATACTTTTGATTATTATGTGTGGGGTGCAATTGTGCGGAGACCAACAAAACTGCATGTAACACCAAAGATGAAAAAAATTAAGGATTATTGCAGCATTCACCAACTTAAATAAGGAGCTACCCAGAAGAGTTGCAAGGAGATTCCGAAGCCGTCTGGAGGCCGTGGTTGAAGCCAACGGTGATTTTATTGAATAAATTCACTCTTTAGTATTTCAAGATATTATTGTGTAATTTTGGTAAATATATCTGTTAAAATGAGATGTCAGTGTTATTTAAATTTTTGTTTGATTTAGACTAGAATTTATCCATCGCATCCTGTATGTATGTAGTGAAATAACACAGATGAACTGAAGGCAAGGATTATGACAGCAATCACCAACTTAAACAAGGAAACTGTCCAGAAGAGTTGCAGGAGATTCCGAAGTCGTCTGGAGGCCGTGCTGATTTTATTGAATAAATTTACTCTTTACTATTTCAAGATATTTTGTGCAATAAATACATCTGTTAAAATGACATCAGTGTTATTGTCATTTTTGCGTAATTGAGACGACAATTTATCCATTGAGCAATATATAAATCTACTTTAGCTACGAGGGATCAACGTGATTTGTTTATTTTTCTTTACTTATGAGCGATTTATTTTTTTTAAGTTTGCCTGAATGAGGTGTCGTTTTGATTATAATGACAGTAATCGATATTTGAAATCAGGTAGTAACCACAAACACATTCGAATACTGATTCTCCTGCTAACATTTCGTTTACCGACAAAACTGCCACAGCACTATACATTGTCTATCTCCACTACGTTTCACTAATGTTAATTAATTCAGGTACTTGCAAAATCAGCAATATCAGCTTCATGTCGATATATCCATTTCACT